TCAAGTTTTTTTGTCTTTGTGCAATAAATTATTTCGAGATATTAAAATGTTGGTACTACTGGGATTACTTAATTTTCACTACTATTAAGTTAGTCGATACAGTTGAAGCAAATTAACAAAAATTTATAGTTATATGTATTATTACTTATTTTTATATTATTATAATAAGTAAAGACAATGTAAGAGATGTAATCTGAAAGTCGTCCAAAGCCGAAAGGCACGGACTAAAAAAAATTAATAATAATAATAATAATATATTATTATTAATGACATAATAAACAATATAAGTAGTTAATACTAATAACTTAAAATATTGAAGATAAAGTTTGAACAAATAAATATTATTTCAACCAGACCGTGTATTTATCTATCTTCATCCTGCTAGGAATTTTTTTTAAGAGGGTATCACTGATGATAATAATTCTTACCTTCGGTTAATATCTCATTCATAGCATTATGCTACACCAGTTTCCGTTCTGCAATCATGGGTTGCTGTAAAAGTGTTGTTCCCAAGAAAAGATAGTTTTGTTGAGATATTAATTATTTTTCGTCTAAACGCCGACATTAAAATTTCCTTCTCGTTTCTCGAAGGTAAAAACTCACACTTCTAGAACTGTATGATTTATGAAAAAAAATAGTGACATCGATAATCAATAACAAGTTGAATAAAATGGAAACATACCGATTATAAAACAGCTTTATGACGCCTCTTTCTTTTCCGTATGACGTCTTTTTCTTCACTTTCTTTCTTGTTTTAATAGAAATACGTTCTTGAAGGTTAATACAAGCTTTTCTTTTTTCAATGAATTTTAAGACGAAAAAATTTGTATCTTGATATTTTTACACGTACGTATGACATTTACGTCGACGTAATAGAGTTTATATACAGTCTTGTATTTTTGTTAATTATTCATTTTTATCGTAAACTGAAATTATTTATGTAACATTTTAAACAACCTATCGTAGTCTGTGAATATTTATAAACTGTAATAATAATAACAATTAGATATATGTAAAATATCTTGTATAGTCTTCATAAATTAGTGGATAATTATTAATATTACTAATGACATTATTTAACTTTAAGTTAAATTTACTAATTTCACTTTATAGTATATATACTTAATTCATATATAATATATTATAGATGGAATTATTTTTTATACAAGTATATTAATGTTAACTTTCTTGAATTTATATATGATTTAATATATTTCAGGGTAGTTCCTTTTAATAAATGGACAAATATATTAATCTATAATGGAAGGCCCATTAGAAGTAAAAGATTCGACCGCAGGTGCAGAAGAACCTATTAAATCAGAAGCACCTGTACAGAATCCAGATAGCAGTGATCGGAGTGATGGTGCAGTGTCACCTCCACCAAATTGTAGCATTTGTTTGGGCAAATTAGTGAATACCTCATTCACTGACAGTTGCCTTCATCAATTTTGTTTTACTTGTTTACTTCAGTGGTCTAAAATAAAGACAGAATGTCCATTATGTAAGCAGACATTCAAATCCATCATACACAATGTTAGGTCAGAAGAAGATTATGACCAGTATCATGTACCTAGAGAATTTGCCACTTTTGACCTTAATTTTGAATTGGGTCATGCTATGGATGTTGGCACTCATCGTTTTCATTATAGGTATCATATAAATCTTAATCTAAGATTAATGTTTAATATTAAATATATAACAATGTCATAAACGAATAAATTAAATCATTGTAGAACAACTATGACAGGACATCACAGGCGCCCACATGAAATAGTGCTTAATCCAGAACAGGTTGCAAGAAGAGAACAATTACCAAGCATAGCACCGCAAGTTCCAATAGGAGAGCGCTTACGTAGACGTGTAAATCCAGCCGATTATCGTCGCACCATTTATAGGCTCGGAATTTGGGCTACTGCATTACCAGATGTATTTGGCCGCTTTCGCGAATGTAGTGCCGATTTTTATCGGTAAGTATTAGTACTTGGTACTATTTATACATTATTTGCATGAAAAATCAATATAACGTTTTCTTATTCTGTCTAAGGAGAGAACCGAGAGAATTAAACCGACTTATACCATGGTTAAATAGAGAATTGCAAGTATTACTTAATAACAATTCTTCACTTGTTGCATATGTATTAAGTATCATATTGGATGCTCTTAGTCACTATGATATCAGAAGCCCAGAATTTCGAGAGTTAGTACGCCCTCATTTCAGCACATATACAGATCACTTTGTACATGAATTACTTAATTATGCGCGAACTAATTTCGATTTAGTTGGCTATGATCAATCTGTAACTTATTTACCTCAAGGTATGTGATATAGTTTCATTACTTATTTGTATATCATACGTGATACCTTACACCCTTTCTTTCTAAAATTAATAATATTCATTATAGGATTGTCAAATGAATATGTATCACATATTTTGTCACCTGCATCTAGCAGTACTAGCACTAGTTCTGATGATTCAGATGTCCGAGTTCTAGATGAAGCAATCGATCTTAGAATGAACACAGATATGCCTAGTGTAGGACCGCATACAATTAATATGCCTGGTAAAACTCATTTGTCTTCTTTTTGTTTCACATTGTTATTTTACATGAAATTAAAATGTAAAGTATTTTTTTAATTAGGTCCAAGTACTGTAGCACAAACGTTCCAATTGGAAATCCCATACAATGTACCAGATGTATTGACTATTTCCTCTGATTCCTCCACATCAGATAATGATTGCGAAGTGATTGGTTATGTGAAACCTCGTCATGAAAGAACTCCAGAAATCATAGAATTACTTTCATCCGATCCTGAAGAAATAAACATTTCTCACATATCAAATGATAACGCTCAGTAAGTGAAAATATTTTATTTTAGAACACTTGACATCAATCGAAATCATAGCTATGTTATTTTAATATCATTATTAGAGTTCCAGCACCTGCTTCATATGAAGATATTGTCCAACCTAGTACATCTCACAGTATTAAGAACCGAGCATTGGCATCATCATCTAACGAAAGTAATTCTGATTCAGACAGCGATTACAATTTCCGAAGAAGCAGAAAATATCAAAGTCGTACTAGAAAACATACGAAAAGAAGTACAACTAGTAAAAGGCGCAAGCGATCCATAGAAGCAAGAGTTCGTAATCGAACGAGTAGGAATTTATCCAGTTCAGGTGAAAGTGACGCTAGAAAAAAGGCATCGAAGAGGAATACTCAACGGACATCGAAAAGAAGATTAAGTAGTAGTAGTAGTGACAGCAGTTCTCACGAAATGGAATCAAAACCTTTGGATGAAAAAAAATCGAGAACTTTACAATATTCTACGAAAGGCACTGTACGGGTTCGTAAAGATTTAATTAAGAAAGAAACTCGATATTCGGATGATGAATCATTCAGTAGTAATAGTACTGATTCAGACGAAGCTGTGAAGAATGTGAAATCTCGTACACTGCGAAAATCTAAAAGGAAATATGCCACTAGTTCAAGTGATTTTGATACGAATAGAAGTGAGAAGATAATTAGAACAAGAGGTAAAACCAGACAAGTATCAGATACAAAAGAAGCTCACCGAAAAGAGTCAAGATACAAGAGTGATCGACAATCTGAGTCTAGAAGTAGCAGTGTATCTTCTTATGCATCCCAGAAAGAAAAAAGAGATAGTTCTAGAAGACGGGAATCTCAACGAGATATGAGTGATAATGACAGCTCTTGGACAGCCAGAGACGTGTTAAGAAAAGATCGTGAATTTAAGTCCAAGACAAGAGAAGTAATTCTAAGTAATTCAGATTCCGATGGAGATTTTAGGTCGCACAGTCAATGCAGTAATTATTCAAGTAAATCTTATGCACGTAAAAAGAAATCGAAGCATAAAGATAGGCATAAAAGTAAAAAGAGGAAACGATCTAGCAGTAGAACACATAGTTCATCAAATCGATCACGACTAACTCGACGACATCCAGCTTGAAATTGAAATACAATATTGAAACATTCCGATTCGAAAAATGATTTAATTAGAAAAAGAAATAAACGTGTGCAACTCCTACAAAATTTGCAAGGGGTTACAAAAGATCTCAGGGTAACACCAAATCAAAATCGATGAAAATAACGATGCATTTGATTGTTAATTGGCTTGGATTCAGAAAGATATCACTGAATTTAATTAAGACCATTTAACGATTACCTATTTAATTGAAAGTTACTAATGAATTTTTTTAAACTATCATGTTTTTTTAAACTATCACGTAAAATACAACAACGATAAAACATGATGAATTCACGTTAATTTTGAATATAATCATTTGTTCATCATCATCAATATGGTTATAAGGGTGCAGAGACGTTTAACATTTTTAAATGAAAACATACTGCATTATATGAAATATTATTTTATTTCTCTATATTTTTAATGAAAATGGCTTCCACATGTGTTGTAAAATATATGGAAATTGTGTATAAAGTACTGACGTAAAATTACAGGCTTTATTTATGATTTTTTCTATTGTATAAATTGTTTACATAAAAGATGCGACCAAACTTAATGTGTTAAAATTTATGTTAAATTTTGGGCAATATATGGAAAAGAAAATATTCTGCATAAATACGTACGAACATATATATATATATATATATGTATATATATATATATATATGTATATATGTGTGTGTATATATATATATCACTGTTACTTTCATAAAGGTACAACAGTCCTTATTATATTTCCCTATGACTTTAATTCCCAAAGAATGTTTGTAAATATATTTGTATGTTATAAGCTAATAATTTAATTAAAACTTTACACAGATATAATTTTTTGTAAAGTACGTAGATTTAGAAGTGCTATATGTAAAATTATATATGTCATGTATGAATCATAAAGTAATTAGTTTATAACAGATAATATTGTTTCCTCTTTTTTTTTTTTAAAGTAACGTTCTAAGATATAAAATGTGAGAGAATGAAAATAATACTTTTAAATTATTCAAAAAACTGTATTTTCCTTACATTTTCTCAAAACATAACACATTTTCTTTACATTAATCAAATTTTGATTTATGTAAAATGCACTCCTTGCGCGTTAAACGCATGTAGAAGGCTAAAAATTTTAACATAAAATTAATCTTACAGTTATGATTATTAAAATAATTCATATAACATTTGTATACCTGATAAAATCATCTATATCCATAGTTCTTGCACGTTTATTTTCTGCATCTGCTATTTGTAAAATATCATTTATCATTTCCTTGATATTAAATCCCTCTGGAATTTCCTACATATCATAAAACAAGAAGTTTTGTAACATTTAAACTAATATTCTTGTAATACTTATTGTAATACTTATCTTTGATTACCTTGTTATTCAAACTACAATGAAGCTTGTAATTTTTCTCCAACATTGTTAAGACTGTAGTTTGCTTAAATGCTGCTGAGAGAGTTTTATTTTTTCTGACAAATGCAATTCGTGTTAAACCATCCCATTCTTGGTAATTAATTGGAGGTGGTGGATTACGTGGTTCTATTCTAACTACATTTGACTCTACTTTTGGTGGTGGTCTAAAATTGTTTTTTCCTACTTTCATAAGCAAGTCCACTCGTGCTAACAACTGAGTATTTATACTTAAACGACAATATAATTTATCTCCTGGTTTAGCTACTAAACGTTCAGCAAACTCTCTTTGAAACATAAGTACGGCACATCTGCAGAAAATAATGTGCTAAGTCCATTTCTGCTTGTATTCCCTGTATGTTAAAAATTTATAATTTTTCAAATATCAATAAATAAATTATTAAACAAACTGAACATACCTGAACAGTGGCCTATGTAAAAGTAATTTGAATACTAAAGGTGATGATATTTGATATGGTATATTGGCAACACATAAATCAAAAAATGGTAAGTCTGTTTTCAAGACATCGCCTATCATAATTTGTAATTTTGACTGATAAATTGTACCTTGCACACGTTTCTGTAACTCAGCTACCATTCGAACATCCAATTCACATGCTATTACTTTTTTAGCTTTGTCCAGTAATTTTACTGTCATATTACCAGTACCTGGACCTATTTCTAATACAACATCTGTTGGTCTAACTGCCGCTTTTTCAACCATACTTTGAATAACAAGCGGATTTTTTAGAATATGTTGTCCAATATTCGTATTGAATAAAATTCCTGGAAAATTAATGTATCATTAAAAATTAATCACTTCACAAGAAAAATACATATTATAGATATATTATACCCTGTTTTGCGACTTCTTTATGGGTACGAGTTGTTTTTTGCGTGCGTACTTTCGGCATTTTATTTATACTATATATTTCAAACTATATGCAAGTTATTATAAAAAAATTAATCATATAAAATTCACCACATGTCAACAATAAACACTGAACGAGGAAAACCACATTCTTAATTAAAATAGATTGTGATATGAAAGGAATAACTCATTTCCCTATACGGAGGTTTTCAACTCCCTCTTGTGTGATGTAGTAAAATTAGAATTACGTGTACTACTGAATGTTTCTTATCAAATTTCTTTGATTATTTAGTATCAAATATTATGAGTTGTATAATTTGAGGATATGTAAAAGAAATGCATTTGTCTGTTAAAGGTGCATATCGATTAATTATTGATTAAAAAAGCCTAATTTTCTAACAAAGTGGCCAAACTGCTAATGAACGTAGAGAAAAGCGTTTACCTATCTTCTGCATTAACATGGACGTAAATCTGTCATTTTGATAATTATATAGTTAAGGTTATAAGCAACGAATTATTGCAATATTATTTAAGTTTTATCAAGCATGTTTATTTAATGAAGCTTGATAATAATTATCACTGAACGCATGTAATCATTGACTTTCTTATTGCGTGAAATATTCACTCTAATGATACGACGTAAATTTAAGTTTGACGGGTGGTCTATCCTTTTGCAGGAATAAAATTTTGCAATGCAAAGGCTTAATCTTGGGATTCTAAATTGGTGACGTTATGGAGCTAAAAGTATGGGTAGAAGGAATACAGCGTATTGTATGTGGTGTTACAGAAACCACTACATGTCAGGTTAGCAATGTTTATTTAAATATCACAATTGTGTTGGATGATGCAATATTTATAATTTTAAACACTGAATTCTATACTTTAATAATTTAATAGAAGCATAGTCTGTATAATAAAATGTAACTTTTAGGATGTAGTATATGCTCTTGCCCATGCAACGGGCCAAACAGGTAGATTTACTTTAATAGAAAGGTGGAGAACTAACGAGCGTCTTTTAGCTCCATATGAGAATCCTTTAAAGGTATTAATGCATTCAATTTTTAAATAATTAATTTATAACTTATATGGGTTTGTATAATAATATAATTCTTTTTAATAAGATTCTGATGAAATGGGGAGAATATTCTTCAGAAGTCCAGTTGATATTAAGACGTTCTACCCCAGAAAATAATAAGGCTTCTAGTTCATTAGGAACTCGTTTAAACCATGGTACACGATCAAATGGTGTGATGAGTTCTGCCTCAGAACATAATAGTGCACAAGATGATGCTAAAAATACCACAACCCCAAATTCCGAATTTGATGACTTACAAGGATGTCTTGATAGAAATCGTGACATCAGAAAATCATTAACGTTTGGAGGATTACATGGACATGTTATGGAAAATAATACAGAAGTAAATAATATTTAAGTTATTTGTGCATTCTCATAACTAATTGTGTATAATATCTTTTCATATTTTACATTTATATTTTAGATTCCGATGGAAAATGTTGCCATAGTTCAACCTACGTTGCATTTAAAAAATAAGGAATTGAATATAAGAAAAAATATGCAAAAACCAGCTCAATCTCCTACCCGTGCTAGTAGCAGTGAAAGTAACACACATTTATCACAAAAGAAAGTGCGTGAAGTTCCCCCATATAGGGATCCTCCAGGTCCAGCTTCACCACCTTTAAGAACTTTACCCCCATACAGAGATCCTCCACCACCTAATTTAAATAGTCCTGGAAGATCACAGTTTCAATCTAGTACAAATATTGGAAGTCCTCATGTTCATAAAGAAGATCAACCATCTTCCAGTAATTCTGTCAAACTAAAGAGAAATCTTATTCAGGTTCTACAGACAAGATATTTTTTAAATATATACACAAATATAGATAGCTAGTTCAATACATTGGTATACATAGATATAGATAGCTAGATCAATATGTTGGTATAGACATAATATCATGATAACAATAATATAGTTACTGCAATTAATGCTGTTAATCTTTCTTGTATGCTTAGGAATTTCAAGAAACAAAAGGACAAGCTCAATCTGTAAACCAATTATCTGGTCAAACTCAAAATATGGTTACAGTTGCTTACACTCAACGCTATGTTGAACTTATTAGACTAGTCAATAAACAACGTGATACTATTAATGCACAGCAAGCGGATCTTACTAAAGTACGAATTACGTAATTATATATTTAGTTATATTTTTAATAATTCAATCGTGACAAAATTTGTAAACATATATTTCATAATTTATCTTCAGTTTGATGCTGAAATATTGTATTGGGAAACTAAAAATAGAGAACAAATGCATCAGATGGATTTCATTTCTCAGGAAGTAAATCGCATGGAAACTACAGGACGTCTTATTGAAGAACAGGTATTTCATATAATATGACAATACTTTGTATAATTATCATGATTGTAATAGTGTTTGTTTTTATTATTTTATTTTTATTTTATTTTATTATTGCTTAGTCCGTTCCTTTCGGCTTTGGATGAGCTTTCGGTTTTACATCTCTTTTACCTATTCCGCTTCTTATATATCTACCTCCACTTTTATCCACTCTATTATATTGCACTCCCTTAATTATTCTGTGTCTAGAACTATGGCAACTTTTGAGCTTTTGCCTCCTTGCTGTACTTCCTTATTGTCATTGCTCCCCGTCTTGTATTGCCCTTCTCTTCTCTATTATTGCTTTTAGTTCTGTTAGTCCTTCTCCAGTCTCATTTAGTATTTTTTCCGTGTCCTTTGGTCCTTCCGTTATTTCGCATTCTTCTATTACATATCTCAGGTCTTCTTCTTTCCTTCTACATAATCTGCATCTTTCTTCTCCCTCTTCTTTCCAGTATTCCCTTGCTTTGGTCTCGTTTCCACATCTGAATCTTGCTAATATTTTTTTGTCCTTTCATTTCATCCTCCCTTCTAAGTATTTTGGTAACTCTTCTTGTAATAGTGTTTGTTTTTATAGTTAAAAGAACTAGCACATGTCGAAGAAGAAAGTGAAATAGTTAGACAACAAGAAAAGACATTAAAATCAGAAATTACTTTACTGAGATCAAAACTTGCGAATTGTGAAACAGAATTACTTCAGTGCAAAAATAAAATTAGGTAAAAGATTATAAGCTTAACTTTTTTGATATAGCACAAAGTTAATTGTGTTCTTTTGCATTGCAGATTAGTTATGGAAGAACTTGCTATAGAACAACATAATATAAGTCGTGAAACAGATGAAAGACAAATAATGGAACGTAAAATCATTACTGAAGTCGAACATCTTCAAAATGAAGTAGAACAAGCTAAACGTTCTGCTGAACTAGCTTCCCAATGTGCGGAAACATTAAAATTGGAAGTAGTAAGTTTAGAGTCAGCAATTGTTGAGAAAAAATTACAAGTAGAACGATTAGTAGCGGATATGAAAGAAGCTAATTTACAAAGTCTTGCTGTTGCTTGTCAAGATGAACAAGTCAAATCATTATTTGAAGGTATTTGTGACTTAAATTAAAATATAACTGAAAATGTTAATTAATTTATCGATTTCTACATATAGGTACCCATAAACCTGGTAGTACGCGTAAAATGATAGGTTCACCAAGACAATTGGAGACTGCGGTACCTACGAGTAAAAATCCACATGGTGTTTGGGTATAAACATATATTATTCGATATACTTTAAGATATCGAACGTAATATTTTTTATTTTTAATACAGTAAACAATTAAATATTTCATGTAGGGTTACATGTGCAGTTTGCACCTCTAGTAAAATCAATGTAAGTGAACAAGATATTTTACTTTCGTACTGTTTATGTATACACTAATTATTTTTATCTACTGGCCATATAATTTTGAACAAGCTTAAGTAATAAGTATAAGTCATATTAATAGTCTTAAACATTATTTGTATATATCCAAGACAAAAGAAAAAATATTGGACAATACATTTATCCAAAGTGTCACAATTATAAATCATGCGACCTGCTTGCATGATATAATTTAAGTAAATGTACTTATAAATTGTTGCAAATTTCATGGAATTATTACTTGAGATAAGATTATATATTTTCTATAATCAAAATGATTCTGTGAATTAATAGCATTTACATATTGGTGCACTATACAATATTAATTTAATTTGCACTTAAAATATTAATGTAGTACACATATGTTGTGTATCTTGTACATATCCTTGAAAGCATGTGATAATGAAATCTGAAATATTCTACCCTATCTTCTGTTGAAGTAAGCTAATTTACTTCAACTTTATTTCTAAACATTTAAGAATCTACTATTCAAATCTCATTTCAAAATTGAGTTCATTCTATTTTATCAACCAAACTTAACTCTATATAAAAAATCTGATTGTGTTTGATTGTATGTGATTCTAGTTTTAAATGAAAAATTCACTTCATTTTACATGATAACAGTCTTCGTTGATTTATATGTGCATATAAATTATATTATTAGTGCATATCATAGCATCTTCACACTGCCATTATTAGTAATGATCTTTTAAATATGATACTATGATTAAGTTTACTTCGTATGTAATTTCACTTTTACAAAATCTACATACTCTTGGAGTATGTAATTATTTCATTGTCGATAATACTTATCTGTTTTTTACAATGTGTCTACCAAAGTGTGTTAATTTTTTATTAGAAATAAACATATATTGTATAATAAAATATACAAATAAAAGATAAAATTTAATTAAAAGTTGAAATGGAATTGTTTATTAATCCATTTAGATCTATTGATCTAATTTTACAAAAATACATCTAATGTATATACCCTAATTATAGGGTTGTAAGAAGAGTAAAACAATAGCTCACAGTTTCGCGCGCTTTTTAATTCGTTACTTCATAGCGTCATAGAAGCAATATGTACCGGGATCATTTAATCCTTTGTTTAGAATTATACACATATACATAAGTAAAAGAAAAAAATTACTGATAATTAATCAAGTAAATGTTCGAAATGTGTTTATACTTTTAATATAATATTTAATAATCATTTATTACGTCTTCAATTAAGTGGAATTCAAATAACAACACTTGTTTTCTACATTCTTCAAGCAAATATGAGTCTCTGGGTAGATAAATATCGCCCAACAGTACTTGGAAAATTGGATTATCATAAAGAACAAGCAGAATATTTAAAAAACATGGTAATATTGCCTTAAAATATAATTAAAGTATGTTCAGTAAATAGTAAGTTAGAAAATAGGTTATACTGGAAGTTATATGACGTTATTTATTTTATTTGTAATATCATTAAATATAAATGAATTCAAATGACTTATACTATAATTTTAGATACAAAAAGGAGATTTTCCACATTTATTAGTTTATGGACCATCAGGGGCAGGAAAAAAGACCCGTATAATGTGTATCATAAGAGAATTATATGGAAGTGGTGTTGACAGATTAAGAATGGAAACTATGACATTTGAAGTAAGGTATATTTTTATATATTTAGTTTGATTCTGAAAATGATAACTTTATGATTTCAGACACCTTCCAAGAAGAAGCTAGAGATAACAACAATAAGTAGCAACTATCACATTGAAGTAAACCCAAGCGATGTTGGTATACATGATAGGATAGTAGTGATGGACTTGGTAAAAACAACAGCTCAAACTCATCAAATAGATCCCAGTGGACAAAAAGAATTTAAAGGTAAATTTTCAAGTTTTATTTAACAATTGATCATTATTTAATTTTGTGCATTCTTTAATAACCATAATTTTTTATTAGTGGTATTACTGACTAATGTGGATCAACTTACAAAAGAGGCACAACATGCTCTTCGAAGAACAATGGAGAAATATGTCACTACATGTAGGCTAATACTTTGTGCAAATTCAACATCTCGTGTTCTGCCAGCTATCAGATCACGATGTTTAGGGATTAGAGTTCCAGCACCATCAATATCAGATATAAAAGATATTTTGCATTCAATTTGTAAACGCGAAGGTTTAACTTTACCAGATGAACTGGCTACAAGATTGGCTGAATGTAGTGGCAGAAATCTCCGACGAGCGATATTAATGCTTGAAGCTTGTAAAGTTGAGCAGTAAGTATATTCATCCATCAATAAATTTGTTTTGATACATTTAACTATAACAGTATATCACTTTATTCACTTTTTATTTTTAGATATCCATTTACTGCAGACCAAAGTATTACAGAACCAGATTGGCAAGTGTATATTCGTAATACAGCAAATATGATGGTCAGTGAACAGAATCCAAAGAAGCTTCTTACAATAAGAAACAGGCTCTATGAATTATTAACACATGCTATACCATGTGATTTAATATTTAAGGGTCTTTTACAAGAATGTATAAAAAATTGTGATCTTCAGCTAAAAATTGAAATTGCAACAGTTGCAGCAGAATATGAACATAGAATGCACAGAGGATCAAAACCAATTTTCCATTTAGAAGCATTTGTCGCACGATTTATGGCAATTTACAAAAAATTTATCGATTCATCTCTCGAAGGTTTTGTGTGATATATTTATTCACATATTTGCATATATTAAAATATAATTTTTAAATCAGTTCATACATTCGTAAATTATTTTGTATTTACTATTATAAATTAATTACTAATAATGTCTACTTTTGGTTTTTGTCATAAATTAGATATAATTTCGAAAGTACAAGATGGAACACATTAATCTAACAGTACAATTAATTTTCGATAGAAATTACATCACAATGTAACAATATAATTATTTAAATTTACATTGCAGCAAGAGCAATAGCAGAAATTGTTGATAATGCAATTACCGCATAACCAGTACAATACACTTCCTTAATTGAAAGAAACATTCCTAAATCCCAAGCCTATAAACAAGATTTTATTAGTAACAAAAAATATTAATTAAAAACATATATAAATTCAATAGTTTTTAAGAAACTTTAACTACCAAGTGACGAAATCCATTAAATACATGATACGTAGCAGGTAAAGCAAGCAAAGTTTTTCCCGTGAAAAGAACAGGTGCAGACAAACCTAAATTTGTAATGATTTCTATGAGGCAAGGAATACCACCTGGGATAAGTAATGTTCCTGCAATTACAACAAAAATTATTTGTTTACAGATTTTTATTTCTAGCTTTATTCTGCAGAGATAAATAATAATTTTACCTATACCAAGCAGCATGGCATAACTTGATAATATCATGCCTGTTGTACGATGTGTAATTGAAAGAAAAGCTGTTAATTGAATTTGGTAAATGGACAAATGTGGTGACATGGGTCTCTTAAGGCGCATGTTTTTCTCATCATGAGTTTCGCAAATTGTACTTCCCGTGAACAGTGGTTTAGATATGGCAACATTTCGTGAGCTAGAAAATTACTTTCATAATTTCATTTATAAAAAGCATAAATGACATTTAAATAGAGCGAAGGTTACACATTATATAATAAGTTACCTGGAGGTATATACATTCCGGAAAGTACAAGAATTGATGCTTCGCCGGCAAAGCAATCTAAACAAAAACAATTTTTGACATTAGTCTTATTAAATACAGCAAAATTTGTTAAAAAAGTTCAGCGACAATTCACTACCTCATATAACACAGCGCCATGTTCATGTGACTATATTCGTAATTCTAAATTCTAAACGTACATACATAGATGTTGAAGTATAGAACAGAGATATAAATTATGTGTCTTTTTATAGTATTTATTCTGACTATTTGGCTTAGACAAAATTGCGTAATATAAGTAATTCGATTAGATAAAAGTTAAAAGAATTATCTCATATTGGGACATATGATTTCTATAGTCTGTCTAACAAGACGAGATAGTAAACGTAAACAAAATTTGATTGCTGCGATTATAACTATTGCTGACTAGTGTTAGTCTAGTCAGCAATTATAGATTATATATGTCTTTCATACCGATATTATTTTTTACTTATTACTAAGTAAATTATTTTATTGATGAGACAGTAGAGAAGACTACAAAATTTAATGTTTTATCTATTGCAATAAACGAAAATATTCTTTGTCATCGTCACATGAAAATAAGGCTTCATAGGGGACAAATCATATGCATATAGTATAGCCACCTTATGGTTTGCAAGTATGTAAGCTTTCTGTGATATCGCCCTTTACTGTGAATCCCGGCTCGTGCCTAGCAGTTCTCAAAGATCGTTATTGCATTTTTGATCTCGAAGTACAATATATTTGTTAGAAATTATTAATTTTTAGGTCATCGTGAGAAAATATAGACATAATTGCAGTAAATAATATTATACAATAAAATGAACGAATTTAAATTGCCTAAAGCTCCTAATGGTATAGGAATTGCCGCTTCATGCCTTGCAGCGGTCGGCATGACGGGTTATGGCTTTTGGAAATCTATGTATACAGGTTTGGTTTACATAATTTACTAAAGAAAGAAGAAAAAATGAATATTTATATATTATAAGTAATATATACAAATTATTATCGATATGTATATATATATAATTTAATAAAAAAACTAATGAAAAAAATAAAATTCAAAGCAAAAAACATTTGCTTTTAAACATTTGTAGTTATATGATTGTCTTATTTCAGTGGAAGCTGGTCATAGAGCAATTATATTCTCTCGTTTGGGAGGAATTCAACAAGATATATTAACCGAAGGTCTTCATTTTCGTATTCCATGGTTTCATTGGCCAATTATTTACGACATTAGAAGTAGACCTAGGAAATTATCTTCCCCTACAGGCTCCAAAGATTTACAAATGGTCAATATTTCTCTTCGTGTGCTGTCTCGTCCTGATGCAACTATGTTACCAGCAATGTATCGTCATTTAGGTCTTGATTATGATGAAAAGGTTGGTGTAAAATATCAAAATATTTTCATATTAAAATTTCAATAAAATTGTTATTGAAATATAATCATTTGTGTTTTAGGTTTTGCCAAGTATTTGTAATGAAGTATTAAAATCAGTTGTAGCAAAGTTTAATGCATCTCAGCTAATTACGCAGAGACAACAGGTTTCAAATTTAGTAAGAAAAGAATTAACTGAACGTGCTAAAGATTTTAATATTGTCTTAGATGATGTGTCAATAACTGAATTAAGTTTTGGTAAAGAATATACAGCTGCTGTAGAATCTAAGCAAGTTGCTCAACAGGAGGCGCAAAGAGCTGCGTTCTTTGTAGAAAAAGCAAAACAGGAGAAACAACAAAAAATTGTTCAAGCAGAGGGTGAAGCAGAAGCTGCCAAAATGATATCCTTTAAAAAACAATATAAATAATTATAATGTTGCATATATTCTTTCTGAATGGAAATATCCTTAACTCCAGTGTACCTTGGCTTGGCTCTTAGTCAAAACCCAGGTTATTTAAAATTACGAAAAATCCGTGCAGCACAAAACATTTCTCGCACGGTAATTATAGAAAAATTCTGTTTTTTGTAATGAATTATCGAAAAATTATATGATAAACGTAATTTTTGTTTTAGATTGCTAATTCTCCCAATCGTTTGTATCTTAGTGGTAATGGCTTGATGCTAAATATTCAAGATCCATCATTTGATGATTCATCAGACAAACTGAAAAGTAAGAAATAAAGACGGCAAAATATTTTTTCATACCTATCATATGTAATATGATTTTCAACGTTATATATGTAGATAACAAAAGAAATTATTAAAAAGATTCATTAGATGATTGTAGATATAAAAATGCCACTGCACCTATTTCTTGTTATTTGTTTTAATATCCTGTGGTAAGGTGATGCTCGCTCGCAAATCTCGAGCTCCTGTTTTTTCAGGTAATAAAAGACTGGGCTTGGGAAACTGGAATGATGCTATGCAAAGTGCTGCGAAAACTTTAAAATCTGAGCAACAAGCAACAGTGAAAACCAATGAAAGGCCATTAATTAGAGATTCTGTACCAATATCTCCAGAAGAACAAGTATCTATTTTATTGGATTCTGCAGATGGTGGAGCAAAAATGATTGTTTCTTGAATTCGAACTTTTAATTCTATATTTAAAAAGAGATTGCGATGCGAGCTCATCTTCTCTAACATATTCCTCACTAAATCTTGTTAATGTCATAGACTAGATAAAGATCTTTTTGTTTTACATTAAGGAATTTATATTTTAATAATCTTTTAACAATACGTCTTTACAAATTATCGACATAAGAAAATAAAGTTAATTTACAGTTTGTCCCCTTATCCTTCTTTTATTCTTAGAAATACAAATCATTTGGCACTCGACAATCATGATCTTCGTCTGGACATTTATAATAAAAATTTTATGATATAATATTCTAATTAATTTAAATAAATTAATTAATTTATTTAAAAACGTAAATGTTGAATGAACAACGTTTCGGAATTATATAATATTTTTGTATCCCTGTTACTTAAAACTTATCTTTAAAAAATGGTAAATTTCGGAACGCATTTGGGAGGTGCACTTCCGGCAAATTTTCTAATAAGTATATATGTATTTATTTTATTATTGTATTATTGCTTAGTCCGTGCCTTTCGGTTTTGGACGAACTTTCGATTTTACATCTCTTATACCTGTTTCGCTTCTTATATGTCTATCTCCCCTCTTATCTACTCTATTATATTGCACTCCCTTAATTATTCTATCTCTAAAAGCTAAAATTAAAAACTAAAAATTAACAACTAATGACTAAAAACTGTTGCAACTTTGGGCTTTTGCCTCCTTGCTGTGCTTCCTTCCTGTCGTTCCTTCCCGTCTTGTATTGCCCTTCTCCTCTCTGTTATTGCTTTTATTTCTGTTAAACCTTCTCCAGTATCATTTAGTGTTTTTCCTATGTTCTTTAGTCTTCTCGTTATTCCACATTCTTCTATTACATGTCTCAGGTCTTCTTCTTTCCTTCTACATAATCTGCATCTTTTTTCTCCCTCTTCTTTCCAGTATTCCCTTGCTTTGGTCTCGTTTCCAGATCTGAATCTTGCTAATATTCTTCTGTCATTCCACTTCATCCTCCCTTCTAAGTACTTTGGTAATTCTTCTTTGGCGATATTTCTGTAATGTATGTTATATTTGGATTCCCTTATCCTTTTCTGCTTCTCTTCTGCTTCTCTCTTTCTTCTTCCTTCTAAAATTTGGTCTGCTGTCATCCTTTCTTGCTCTTCTCTTGCTTCTATCTGCGTCCCTCCATTTCTCACCTCTTCTAGTCCCTTTTTTCTCTTTCTTGCTCTTTTCCCTTCTTGGCCATTTCCTCAGTTTCTCTCTCTTTCCTTTATACACTCCATTACTAGTTTATGATTCTTGCCGCTCTTTTTAATGCTTTATCTTTGATTTCTATTAGCTTGCATATATATGTATTTAATGTAGTCAATGTAGATAACCTCTACTCGTATGTGATAAGAAAAGTATTGCCAATTTGTCATTAATTACGTGCTATTTTCAAGTTTGAATAAAATAAAGGTGCGTATTTTCAATTTAATAAATTTCAGGTTGTAATTTTAAGCAAACGTTTATTTTTACTCTTTCTGTATCTATTCTATTTTTTCTTTATATAATATACTTAACCATATATTTTGTTAAACTAATATAGTATTGCATTACATTTGTAGATGAAAGAAGATAAACGTGCTAATCTAACTACAGAGAGGTAAGATAAATTATTATTTTTAAAAGACAGTTATTTCAAAATTATGTTTTTGAGTTTCTCTATTTTTCTTTCTTAAGCGATGAGCTTTCTAAGAAGGCTCTTAAGAAACAGCAAAGAGAAGCAGAAAAAGCAGCAAAGAAAGCTGAACGTAAAGCTCAGATTGTAAGTTAAATCATTACGTATTTTAATAAAAAAAAATTATTTTCTAAAGTTTGATGTATAGGCTTTCAACAAAGCATTTTTGATTTATATATATAGCAAGCACAACAAGATGCAGTTCAGGAAGAGGATATATCAGTTGGGAAATATGGAGAAATAGGATTAATACAGAGTAAAGAAAAACACACAGAAAGGAAATTTACTGATGTTAAAAATTTGAATCCCAATTTAGAAAATCAGACTATATGGTTAAGGGGACGTTTACATACTAGTCGTGCTAAAGGTATATCATTTAAAAATAAAGCAAGAACATTTAATATTTATATAATCAAATTAAATATTTCTCCCTTATAGGTAAACAGTGTTTTATCGTTCTAAGACAGCAATCTTATACAATACAAGGTTTAGTTGCAGTCAATGAAAAAGTCAGCAAACAAATGATTAAATTTATATCCAAGTAAGTGGTGTAAATGAGTTAATAAAAATTAATGTTACTTTTTATTTTACAAAATTATTTTGTAGCATTACCAAAGAATCTATTGTGGATGTAGAAGCAGTTGTAAAATGTGTTCCTTCCAAAATTGAGTCATGTACTCAAAAAGATGTTGAAGTTCACATTGAAAAAGTTTTTGTAATAAGTGTTGCAAAACCACAATTGCCTTTACAAATTGAAGATGCTTCAAGACCTGTAGGGGAAGCTGATGATAATGCTTTGAACATAAAAGTGAATCAAGATACTAGATTAGATAATAGAGTCTTGGATCTAAGGACTCCTGCTAATCAGGCTATATATAGAATAGAAGCAGGTGTCTGTAAATTATTCAGAGATATACTTACAAATAAAGTAGGTTGTCAGAAAAGTAATAAATTTTACAAAATCATAAACAGCATATAGAATTTTATTCACACATTTTTGTTTATAGGGATTTGTTGAAATTCATACACCAAAAATTATATCTGCTGCAAGTGAAGGTGGTGCAAATGTATTCACAGTATCATATTTTAAAGGAAATGCTTATTTAGCACAGTCTCCACAACTTTACAAACAAATGGCAATAGCTGCTGACTTTGATAAAGTTTTCACAACAGGAGCAGGTAATGTTTAATTTAAAAAATTTAATTCTTTCATTTCGTTTTTTGGAAATATGTTATTATGTATGGGAATTTCTTAGTTTTTAGAGCTGAAGATTCAAATACTCATAGACATTTGACAGAATTCGTCGGTCTCGATTTAGAAATGGCATTTAAATACCATTATCATGAAGTAGTTGATACTATTGGACAGTTATTTGTAGAGATGTTTAAAGGTCTCCGTGACAAGTTAGTAAAGTTGACTGAAAGATGTAAAATACTTTTTCTGTAATTGTAAAATACTAATCTTATATTTAATTTCAGTTACGCTGCCGAAATCGAGGCTGTACGTCAGCAGTATAATGTCGAACCATTTAAATTTTTAGATCCGCCTTTGAAATTAGAATTTAAGGATGCTATTGAATTATTATCGGAAGCTGGTGTAACTTTGGGCGAAGAAGATGATTTATCTACGCCGGATGAAAAATTGTTAGGCAAACTTGTTAAAGCAAAAGTGGGTTTTTCTTTAAAATAGTATTTGTAGATATGAATCTACTTTTCTCAATATTGTCTTACTTCTAGTACGATACGGATTTTTACATCTTGGATAATTATCCATTGGCAGTAAGACCGTTTTATACCATGCCAGATCCAAATAATCCGGTAAGCTCTTAGAATACCCATTTTTAGAATAATGCGTTACAATAATACATTAAATATGTTACATTTATTATAGAAAGCATCAAATTCTTATGACATGTTTATGCGCGGTGAAGAAATTATGTCTGGTGCGCAACGTATTCATGATCCTGAACTTCTTACAGAACGTGCAAAGCATCATGAAATTGGTAGGAATATTTTATATTTTTATACGTTTGCAGTAATAATGTAACATATTTTTTTTTAATTGTAGACATAGAAAAGATCAGATCATATATTGATGCATTTAAATATGGTTGCCCTCCTCATGCTGGTGGTGGTATTGGATTGGAGCGTGTTGTTATGTTATATCTTGGCTTAGACAACATTAGAAAAGTCTCGATGTTCCCTCGTGATCCTAAACGTATTACGCCATAAAATTTCAACTTTAAAATAATTCGTGTAGTACATATATATTAATGTATAATGAATACATTTGTATCATTTGTAATTACTATATCATTGAAAAAAAACAATAAACAGACATTTTGCGTACGTTTTTAGTTAGGTATAATGTCTATAGTGATTTATAATATATCGTATATGTAAATTGTAATAATAATAAAAAAAAGTATTGCAATTTTCCCAATATACTGTGATCAGTTAGTCATTATTTTTTTAAAACTCGTCTTATTTTCCTTTTTATGTCATTTTTTAAATAAACTGTCTATGAACATTCACAGGTGTTATACATATGTCACATGCAAATTATGATATATCTTGCGTCCTAATCACAATTCGGGGCCGAAATTGGTCATAAGTCATAGTGCAAGGGTGCGTACTATGTTAGTATTCATGCATGTATATATGTATATAGTATAGTATATGTATAATAGTGTATGCTCCACGAAGGCAGTTCCAAGAAATGGAGGGATAGCAGCGGTCATAATGCATATCTTCCATCACACATAACTTGAAGTAATGCTGTATGTTGATGAAGTGTTTTCAAATGCAAACAAGTTGAAGTTCGTATCAAAGAAGGTTAAAATAATAATTTATAGTCTTTAAGAAAATATTCCTTTTATTGTCGTACTCATTAAATATAATAATAGCTGTGTTACCAAGATCTGAAATGGCAACAAACAAATCATTGTTTATGAACGGCTTCAAAGAAGATTGCGAACAATTAATTACTCGTTTTGAACGTGCAGATAACATTAGATTTGAAACTTTTTGCGATATCTGGAAAGCAATGAAGTTTTCACTGGTCTTTGCGTAAGTTGAGATTAAGTCTCGCTAAATTTAATTGTTATGGTTAATTTTGCCATAATCTTATTTCGAATATGCATTTGGAATCATTGAAGTAAATAATAAATTGTTTAAAATTGCATAAATCTTTTTTCTATATTTCTAGGGGCCGTCCATCCTTTTTGGAGCTATTAGAATTTTGCGAAGAAGCATTACATATATGTAAACAATTTATTCTTCTACCTCCTCGTTTTAAAGAACGTATTGGAGGATTATATCTTTTATATGGAATATACTTCAAAATGCCAATAGATCAATTTAGAATTAAAATTAAACTAGATGATTGGAAAAGTATTCTGGAACTTCATGCAGAAATAAAAGAAGCAGAACATTTAGATGCTAATTATATATTGTGTAAACTAATTGAAAGTAATGCATTTCATTTCTGTCTTTTTGATTCAGAGGTAAATTTGATGAAAACTCTTAAATATATATAAATAGTACTTGTGAATTATATGTATATATCGTATATAATTTTGTATTTCTAGTATGGTATGGAAAAACCATATATTGTAAAGAATTCACAGTGTTTTAATCCATATTCTATATTGCCAACATTAAAAGATTTAAGTGACAAGAATCAAATATTGTCAAAAATTAATGAACTTAGTAAAGCTTATGAACAGAAGAAAGAAGCATCAAAATTAATAAATCTATCAGATGCTAGTTTAAAATTATTTAATTCAAATATAGCACAGGAAATCATTAATGATATTCAAGAGTTTGAAGAACAGAGAAGGGATCAACAGAAAAATACAATTGATTTTGAAAAACCATCTTGTTCTACTTTAAAAGGACAATCTTCAAATGAACATACAAAATTTCAATCGTATGTACATTTGTACAAATAATACACTTATTGTATATTTATTAAATTGTATTGTATCATGTTTCAATATTCTAGAAGAGGGCCTGCCAAACGCAAAATGCGACCATTAATTGATGGTATTGAACCTGAAAGTGAATCTGAAGAAGGTGAAGCATTAGAAAGTGATGATTCATATTCAGAGTTAACAATAGATTCATAACAGCAAAGAAAAAGATATGAAGTATACATCTTTCATACGTAAGTGTATTATTTTATAATAGTATGGAATACAGTACGCGCATGTTCATAATTTATGTAAAAGCCATAACGACTAAATGATATTTGATAATTGTGTTTTATTGGGAAGTATACAAAATAAGTACAAGGAACAAGTCAGTGGAAATATCAATCATTCTAAATTTTAAGAAAACTTTTTGTAGAATATATTGTACTCTACCTTATTGTAACTGTGTTTTGCACAGACTTTAAGTAAAGACAATTCAATTAAATGGCTAAACGTCTTTAAAATGGATTAAATTTCTAAACTTAAAAACTGAGTAAAATGTATTATAGATTTCGTGAAGAAGTTACTTTATCAGAGATTAATTTTCAAAGATGTAACTTTTCATTTTCATGTAGCTTTATGTATATTTACGGCATTAAAATTAAATCTATATACTGAATGTAAGTGTTATTATTGCCGCCAATAAACATTTCTAAAGCTTACGATAATAAGTTCATGTCAAATTTTCTTAATAAACTTTCAATTGATTGTTATCATCAAATCCAGCACTGTGACCCGCGTTTCGTACAATAAAACTAGTTCCATCATAATGCATACGTCGCTCACCACGACGCACAAAAAGATGGGAAGTTTGACCAAGAGATGCCGTACAATGTAAAAATGGTGTTGTTAATGAAGCTGTACCATTACTAGGCGATGTTCGTAATTGGTATTTGTTACTATTTCGTGCAATCCTAATAAATAAAAATTTATGTGCTTATTGACTGTTGCACTATTGTATAAATGACTTTTTCTTACAATTTTCATGGATAAAATTACCTGACAAGACCATCAGGTGTTTGTGAAACTCTAACATTATTAATGATCCAATTTTCTACACCCTCATTAGTTAACCAGTATTGAGCAGCACTTAAAGCTGCTGCAGCTTCTTGTAAGCATGCTGCACCATGTCGAGAACGAGAGTAAAAAACACTAAGAGAAAAGTCCTAAAAGTTAAACATTTCCTTTTAGTACAGTTATACAGTTTATACAATGATATCTGTTTTTCATACCTGACCCATATCTGAAAATGAATCCGTAGTTGTTCTTGTCCCTGCCGTATCAACTAAATAAACTAGAGCACACTGCTCTGAAGTAAAGCTCACCCCTTTATACCACATCTTCGCATATCTGATGAAGGATAATAATACTTGTTAATGATACTTTAATAATGTTATAGATACCACTGACTTGTTATTGCCATGGGCGTCATGGGCCAGGATTTCAACTCTTGATCCATATTGATATATTCTTCCATTTGGATGGAGTAATGCCGCAGCCGCTCCAGAACCGCTCAACGATAGTACAATATTATTCTACGCTGACGATAAATGCAATTCAGATAATAATCATGTAGGTATTAGAGATTGCTTTCCGTTTGTGTTACTGCATTACTACGAATTTGTATTATGTTGTTTTTACATAGATGGCTTAATTATGGTATTCAGATTTGCTTGAAACAGGAATTGTGTTATAAAATAGAAAAAAGAAGATACCTTAAAATTAATTACTCTAACTGCACGATCGATCGTCATATCAACCCGAATTCTGTTGTGAAGTCTCAATGAAATTGTACCATGCGGTGTAGCTACAATAGCAGCATCGGTATCATGTTCTCTCCAGTTTTCTGCGTAGAGACACGTCTCTTCATAATATGGTGCAATGGTTTTAGAATTTCGTGGTTGTCGCCAAAGTGCTGTTGAATTAGAAAATGCCGTTGTACCGGCTAATCCACCCCATTGCTCCGACGGTGGTGCTTCAAAGTACTTGGGAAATTCACTGTATCGCTAAAGAAGAAAGATAAATTATTTTGAAGAATGAAGATCACCTTTAATAATTAGTAACCACGTTAATTATTATGTAAAGTACCTGGAAATTAGTTTCATCTGTCTGTGCATGATAACTATGCGCTGTATAGACAGATCTAGGTCGCATCGGTGCCGCCGAGGTAGTTTGATTTTGAATTGTTGGTATGGAACATGGTTGTTGATTCATCACTTGTGCTCCAGCTTGGACATTACACTTTTGGATCTCCTTTCGAAATTCGCCGCAAGGAGTTGACATAGCTTTTGCCTTTAATTAATAAGATATAGTAAAAATCATCTAAATATTAATTAATAAAAAATGAAAGAAAGATAGACGTTCTTCAACTCCACTAACCATTTTTATAAATGTTATATTGAGAAATAAATCTTTTTATCGTATTGTAATATATTATATATATTATATTTATCGTTCGTATTATATATATCGAAAGAAGTTAACGGGAATGAACTCGATCAACAAATAATTTAAGAATTGAAGATTGAAAAATAATAGATCAAAGAGTTTAAAAAAGGACCTTGGAATTGGCTGTAGCGTTTTTTGGCTTCTTGCGACGAGATTTCCGGGGTTTCGACACCGCCGTTTGACTACCCTCGTTTATGCGATCCACGGCTGAAGCGGTTTTTGTATCTACAGGTCCAGGTCCTTTCAGTGAAATCACGTCTTCGACGTTTCTGATGATTCTTAACTTCACGAAGACGCTTGCATACGTAACTTTGATTTTAAAGGTTTCTACTTAGCGATTAAGAATTTTCGGATCGCGCTGAGGGAAATCAATCCTCGTAGATGCCTATAAAAACTTGTTCAGAGGATAACGCGGTTGGAAGATATTTCGGTAAAACGAATGAATATCCTGGTTGATTATGTCGTTGCCTTGACAATAAAAAATGACAAGAGACTGATGTAGTAGACAAATTCCACTAAAATGAGAGTAGGCAAGGTTTCTCGGATTCAAATGCAATGATTTCTTTAACATTTGTTATATCCTCGCATTAATGTATTTTTCGTTTTCCTACATATGTTGATATAATAATACTACAATGAACAAAATTTCAAAAGTATAATTTTTCGATCGGTACTCCTTTTATAATGAGCATATCATTTTAACTTATCTTCTTCAGTCTTTGAACTTTCATTTTCTTTGAAAATGTATTTAAACTTTAAAGGAATATTCTGATTAATATTTCTCTTTTCTTGTTTCGTTTTCTCAAACATTAGCATTTTGAAAAGTCATTTTTAACGTTCGTAAAATATTAACACCAAGAAATAGTCATTAACTACGATCAAGGTGAAGGTGACAATTGCTAATCAAGAATTACATAAGTATCTACTATCACTAATTATTATCAATTGTACAATACAATTGTCAATTATTAACATTATCCGCATACTTTTCTAATAAATTTGACAATGATGTTTTTTTTCGCATGTTTGAGTATCGATTCTATTATGTACAAAATGTTTTTTAAAATATTTTCTTATAGCCAGTAGTGTTTAACGGTTACCATAATGACATTATTACATTTGCATTTCATTAAAAACGAGTTAGTATCGGTTTCGAGTATTGGATTTGTAAGATCAAATCCACAGCACCCGAGAACTACATCTTTTACTCCAACGCTTCGATGCAATTCATACAATAGAATAATATATTCTAATATTTTTAAATTGTTCTAATTTCATACTGTTCACTTTCAAGAATATATTACAATATATTTTTATTAGTACATGTTCTTTATAAAACATGAAATTCAAGAATAAGATAGTATAACATGACAATAGAAATTATTGCAAGTCAATGTGCTTATTGCATAACAACGCATAGTTTTCTTTGTACTTCCTTCAAATGTATATATTATTTGTACAAAATTCAAACGATATTAAAAATTCGCTGACTAAACTTCATTAAAGTAAATTAGTGAAAACAGTACTTCGTATTCGCAATTTCACCAAAAATATTTAGTTTGTTAAAAAATAATTGTAGGATTTTCTTTTAACATATTACTAATTTATGCCCTTTTTTTAGGTTTCACGAAGTGATAACGATACGTGAAGTATCTGAAGTACGTGCGGGGAATATTCTACACTTATATAGTATAGTTAATATAAATGAAATAAATGTTGGGTATTTGAGTATACAACATAGACTTTTTGCAAGTAACATTATACCGTATAATAGCGGTTTTCACTTGGTGGGGACAAAGGATTCATTTGCTGATACTTGTTTAAGCACCAATATGTTTTCGTTCTGTTTATAGAATAGCTCGCGGAAGTTCAGGTGTCAATAGAAATCTTAGAAAAAAAATTATAATTCGATAATGATTGTTTTTAAACTCTTTCTTTTCCTGAGTGTTATCTGCTTAACTTTAGGTAATCTTTTTTTGTACATATGCGAATCACATTTCGTAAATTTCCAAATATCGCGTATCAAATTGTGAACGAATATGTGTTTGTCTTTAAACGTGACAAAAAACATGAAAAATATTGCAATTTATCGATATTTCTGCAATTGTGACTATTTCTAATGTTTGAGTGTTTAGTTTCAGAATGTCCTTGAAATAATAATTTAAAGTATCATATGTTCTTATCTTCTAGAATTGCCTACACTAGTTGAAAATGTTGAGACAAGTAATGATGAAGATAATAAAGATATTGAAAGTGATACCCTTCGACTAGTAACAGTGGTAAATATAAAAAAATTAAATGAAAAAGAACATTTCTGTTTTTCTTCCATATTTGAGCTAAATTTGTTTGCAATTTGATTAATGTTATCACATAATCCATAACAAAGATATGGAATTTCTAACTATGGCAATAAACTTTCAGGTAATGAGGCATGGAGACAGAGCACCACAAGACACTTATCCAAATGATCCTTATATCAATAATTCCATGGAGCCTTATGGTTGGGGACAATTAACAAATGTAATGCTTTATACAATTTCTATTACTATATCAACATTTTTATTATCAACATAAGTAATCTTCTATAGGAAGGAAGAAGAAATCAATACAATCAAGGTGTTTTCTTAAGGAAACAGTACAATAATTTTTTGGGTCCAACTTATAGCCCTAACATATTTTACTTGCAATCCACTGCTGTTGACCGTACAAAAATGTCTGCCATGTTAGAAGCAGCAGCTTTGTGGAAACCAACTGAGAAACAGTCTTTTAAACGTGATTTAGCTTGGCAACCTGTTACCTTATTTTACCAACCACGTTCGGAAGATAGGGTACACATTTTATTTAAATATTTAAATAATTATATATTTTATATGATTTTATATTTTTAGTTAATGTTAATATGGGATACATGTCCAAAATATACTAAATTACGACATACAATTACGAACTTGTCAGAAGTTCAACGAATTCAAGACGAAAATAAACAACTTTACGAAGAATTGACGAATTTAACAGGTATGGTGATTTCAACTCCCGGTGATGTGAGTTCACTTTACGGAACTTTAACAGCAGAGGTTTGTATTGATTTTCTAACAAAAATGGGAAATTATACATTACAAAAATTGCATTAATAACGCAAATTGATTGCTTTAGAAACATATGAATTTGATTCTTCCCGAGTGGACTAAAGATTATTATCCTGATAAACTAATACCGCTTACATTATACGATTTTCAACTTAATGTGTATAATGATGATCTTAAGAAACTTAAAGGAGGACCTTTTCTAAAAAAGATTGTTAGCGATATGTTAGCGAAAAAAAATAATATTTTAAAACCTGAAGAAAGAAAAATGTTTATGTATGTTGGTCATGACAGTACTATTGTAACTTTAATGGATCTTATGCATGTATGGAACAATCAAATACCACATTATAATATTATGGTAATGATTGAGTTGCATGAAAAAAACGGTGGATGGAATGTTCAGGTAAATTATAGCATAAAAAATCTTAAATGTAAAAGTCATTTTTATTACTGGTTTACATTCTATCCTTTTTAGATGTTTTTAAAAAATAGCACTGAACATAAACTATATCCTCTGAATGTTCCTGGGTGTACAACAGTATGTCCTCTTGAACAGTTAGTACAGATTTTAAAACCAATGATTCCAGATAATTGGGATGAAGAGTGTAAAGTCGATGGAGACTATACTCCTCCACCTGCCCCGCTTCCTTGACTATAGTTATTTGGTAAATATGAATCATAAGGATTGCAATAAAAGTATTATATAAGTCATTAATTTTGATGACAATAAATAATTTCATTTAAGAAAATAAATTAATTTAACAACACTAAATAAATGAAAACATGTATATTTTTAAAATTATCTAAGAGTACAATACATGTAAAATAAATATATTCATTTTTTCGAAACGATAATTGAAGACACTTATTTTTTAATTGTAATCCTAAAATATACATGTTAGCAACTTTTTAATTTACATAAACTGATTTGTAATAATAATAAAAATTATTTTCCTAAAATGTATGTATTTATATTTTTATCTATTTTACTTTTCTGTTACATATATACTTTGTCCATATTCTACTTATTTTCTATGAAAAAATATGTATTTGCGTATAAGAAATAAACGTACATGATAGTTGTAAACAAATACTTACAAATAAATTTTTTTTTCTTTTTAGGCAAATATTTTCTCTTCTCGACGTTTTTTTGTAACCACTGTTCCAGGTTTATGTTGAGCATCTGGATGATTTAGTAATTCAGGTGGACAAGTAGATATAGGACTTGCAAGAATAGTTTGCTTCAGATCGTAGAACAGATGACTATCGTCTTTGGTACAGAATGAAATGGCAAGACCAGCTTTTCCAGCACGTCCAGTTCTACCAATACGATGCGTGTAGTCTACAAACACGTGAAAAGTAACATATATCCCTGTCCACACAATTCGATTTCTTTTAATAATATATATTTACCTTCTATAGTCTTAGCCATATCATAATTAATGACCATAGACACATCTTTAATATCAATACCACGGCCTGCCACATCAGTGGCAACCAAAATATCTTTACTACCACTTTTCAGAGAAGCAAGTGCATATTCTCTTTGTTCTTGTCCTTTACCACCATGAAGAGTGCAAGCATTATACTGAAAAATGAAATAAAATATTGCACCACATGTCGAGTTTTACAATACAAATAGGATATGTTCTTGCTGAATTTAGGATATTATATAATATTTAAAACTCAAACGTACGCCCAGTTTCTCTAAACCTCTTGCAAGAACATCAGCTCCCTTCTTTTGATTAACAAATATGATGACTGGTGGTTCAACTCCTCTGCTAAGTATTTCCATTAATTTCTTACGCTTATCAGCTTCACCCATTATATGTACAATTTGTTCTGTTCTTTCCGTCGGTTTTCCTACGCTGCCGATGTATACAACAGCAGGTCGCCTTAAATACGTTCTAGCTAATCGTTCTACTGCAGGTGGCATTGTTGCTGTGAACATAACAGTCTAGAAAGACAATAAATTTGTTCATTATATATATTTGGATTTAGATAAAATGTAATATTAAATATTATTTCTTACTTGTCTATATTTTTTCTTTGTATTGTAATTAGCTAAAAGTTTTTCTTCGTTTTCAGCATCCTCGTTGTCTGGTTTTAGATTTGTAACTGGCATATATTCCAGAATTTTTTGGACATCTAAAAATTGATGATTGTGATAATTAATATTTACTTACCTTATACACAAGATGAATTAGTAGTTTGAAGAACATACCTGGCTCAAAACCCATATCTATCATTCTATCAGCTTCATCCAATACAATATAAGTACACTGGTTTAAAACTAAGTATCGGTTTTCTAATACATCAATTAATCGTCCTGGTGTGGCTATAACAATCTATAATAATAGAAGTTAATTTAAGATGTAGGAAATGGTTTTTTACATTATAAATATATAAAAATAGTACCTCGCATCCCATTCTCAACCTGAATCCTTGTTCTTCTCTTGAGAGGCCACCTACAACTACAACTGTTCTTATACCCAATGGTTGTCCAAATTTATTAGTCTCTTCTTCAATTTGTTGAGCCAACTCCCTGGTAAAATGTAATTTATAGAGTACTTACTGGTAAATTAAAAGGATTAAAAATATAGATAATAAACATACCGAGTTGGTGCTAAAATTATGCTGTAAGGACCTTGATCTGCTTCTTCTAATCTTTCAATTTTTGGTAAACTAGTAATCCATAATAGTAATGGAATTAAAAATGCTAGTGTTTTTCCAGATCCAGTTTCAGCAACTCCAATAATATCGCGATTCTGAAGTCCTATGGGAATAGCTTGTCTCTGTATAGGTGTTAAATCTTTATATCCCACTTTATCAATGATATCAAGAATTTCTTTTGGAAATCCTGATTCTTTCCATGATCTAATTGGATCAGGTATACGTCCTCCTTTTATTGTAATATTATAATCCTCTCTGAATATACGCCAATCTCTTTCTGTCATTTCATGAAGAGCTTTCTCTGACCAATGTCTGTCATCCCACTTTTGCTTCTCTTCTTTTCTCTTCACTTTCTTTAATCGCATTCTAAAAAAGAAGAACATATAAATTCATGAAAAAATTGTATATTTTTACATAAATAAATTGTACTTTTAGGAAAAGATACATACTTTTCCTGTTCCTTTTCAGCTTCTGTTCTTCGTTTTTCTAGTAATTCTCCATAAAATTTACTTTGATCTCGTTTTTGTGCTTTAATATCTATTCCAGCAAAGTTCCCTCTACCAAAAAATTGTACCTGATGCCTTTCCTTGTATATATTATTATAGTCAACAGATGTGTCTTCTGAGGTATCCCAGTCAAATACAAATTTTCTGTCATTTAATCTTCTAACACGTCGTTTTTTCTTCACTAATCCTAAATAACGTTCCTTAATAGCTTCTACTTCTTTCTCTTTATCCTTGTCTTTAATTTCATCCTCTCTTGTACGCTGACCATCTCTACGTCTATTTGAAAAGTTGTAATGAAACATAAATTGTTATTTTATGAATTTAATTTATGTAAATAAATATTATATATATATACCTGTCTCTCTCATCCCACTCTTTATCTTTCCCAACATTTTCGCTATGAAAAGATTTACGTATATCCTCCTGTTGTTTTCTTATTGCTTCAACTTCTTCTTGTCGTTTTTGTAATGCTAAAGCAGTACGTTCTTCTTTAGTTAGAAACTTTGGTTTAGCACGTGCTTCTTCTTCTGCCTTTTTTTTAGCTAACAATTCTTCTAAACTTAATGGTTCTTTCTTTGGAGGAAGCTTTGATTTTTCATCAGTTTCCTCCTCCTCTTTCTTTGGTTCAGTTTTGTTCTCTTTCTTACTTTCGTCTTCTATGACAAATATAGGACTTGGTTTACGCTTTTTGTCATCCTTTGATTTGTCTTTAAATTCTCGCCTTTCTCTTGATCTATCTCTATCTTTTTCACGTGATCTATCCCTTTCCCTTGATCTTTCACGCGATCTTGAACGTTTCCTATCTTTTTTCCGATCCTTTGATCTACTTCTTGAACGTCTTCTATCTCGACGTTCTCGCTCTCTTTCACGTTCGCGATCGCGTTCACGTGATCGACTTCGTCTTACAGTTTTTTTATCATGGGCCATTGAAAATTCTACAAATTAATTGTGTTTGAATTGATTGATTGGAATAATATCCACAAGTGATTAATGAACTACTTTGAGAGGTTATACAGCTAAAGCCATAAATATTCGTTATCTTTTTAATAATAAATAGATAACAAAATAAACATTATATATTATACACTGGCATTTTTTATAAATATTTATAATAAACATATAATACTTGGACTATTATCAAATGTATTATCACTTATTGTCAAATGTCACAATAAAGTATACGTGACATAATCAGATTGTATGAAGTTGTTAAATATACTTTTAAACTATAAAATATAAATAAAAGCAGAATAAATTTCTCTTACTAAATGAAAGATAACAACTTTTCTCTTTGAATCAAATAAATTTGCACACAAGAACTACACTTGAACAGCTGTATACAATTTACAAATTCACAGGTATAACGACTATGGTTAACTTTTCAATGCAAGCGACATAATTTCATAGTTTTCATTAGAGAGGAATTTTCTCCTCTGTTCTTGTCTAACAAAATATTAATCTTTAATTTACGTAATTTTCTATCTAGTGTAAACAATTTTTGGTACAATAGATGTAAGTTATAGTATATTTAAACAAAGGAAGTAATTATTTTATTAAATTAGAATTAATGCCATTGTTTAAGATTTATGGAATATGAAATGACGACAAAAAATTTATGGAATATGAAATGTACGATTAAAAAACTTGTTCTTCAAATTTCGAACATTTGAATAATAATAATTATTTTTAAATGATCGAATGCAATTTCAAATATTTCGCCTTAAAAAATTATTGCGAAAGATATTCCAAAAGTTATTATGAAATCTTTTTACTTAGATTCAAATATAAAGGCTTATGTCCAAGTCATTTTTGCTTTAATATTAAATTACTAGAAAAATGATTATACAATAAAATGTCTTGAATTTTTACCGCCCAATTATGAGTGGGTTATTTTGTAATGATTGGACAGCGTGATGTAAGATTCAAGCCAATGGAAGCAAAGCATCGAGCGAGCCACGGGAAGGCTCAATAAAGGGCGCTAGTGTACGTCAAGTGTCACAGCCGTTGCTTGTCTCCTCAGTATTGTAATTTAAATCGGTGATTTAATTAAGAATAACGTATTTTTTTTCTAGAATTTGTGAAACGTTAAGCAATAATGACCGACAAGAAAGGTAACTATATATCGTAATCGTGTAATACGACTAGCAATATGTGTTATACACGTTAAGAATATCTCGTGTTTTCAAGTCGAGAATACCACTTGTCACTCGTACGACGACGAGTTTTTTTTATGTTAGCAATGCTATCCGACACCTGTGAAGAATGGTGCACGTTTAAATTCGATCGAGACTCGTATCATTATTACACATATAAAGTCTCGTTTTAATGCGATGAGAGAAACTTGAATTTCTGTCCAGTGACAGATAAATCAATACCGCATTGTGTGTGGGAAATACAAAATGGCTTCCAAAGTTCGTCTTGAATAATTTTCACGATGACTCTTTATTAAAAATCGTATGCTATCTAAAACGATATAATTTCATTCGAATGTTATCAA